TTTTTTTAACTTCACTCCTCTCCCCCCTTTGCCCCATCACCCCCAATCTGACGCACCAACTCACCCTGTTTGGATGGATGGAAGGTTTGGGGCCTCAGATGGCTACATCCTGGGAATTTAATTACCGGATATGTGTCCCGCGACGCCGCCATCAACCATTAGCCACCTCTCCCCCCTCCCCGCCCCCCCGCCCCTACTCCTCTTGCCTCTGCAATCCAAACAGCTTCTCAATGGCGGAGGACTCACTGGGCAAGGCAAAAAGCAGGAAAAAGGGGCATTCTAAAAAAGCAGTCAATGAACTGCCCATCATTTGCCATGCCCCTTCTGAAAATTCACCCTGAATTGTTCACTTGCATGTTTCCCCATTCAATGAAGTGAGGAAGTAGTCGACCTTGCGACAGTTGGCACCAAATAATCTATCCCTACCGTGACTGAGGACCTAAATGTCTTCAAGGAATTAATTATTCTTCCATTAGTTGGTCAGCTCGATTGCTCTCAGCCACCTTAGCCCGACAGGAATACGAACTTATAGGCATAAGGCGGCGATAATATTGGATACTTGTGCAAACAATAGCTACGGAGGGCCGCCTATATTGATGCTAAATATCGTCGAAAAACGATATTAAAACCAGGCTCAAATAATGCGAAAAAGCCTTTTTCTGCACGTCATTGGACGAGCATTTTGGACGAGTTTCCCGTTGGCGTTGAGCCATCAACAGACATGAGTGCCGGGCCCATTTGGCGGACAGGTGCGATGGACGTCCGGGTCGGTTTGTTGCAGCTTGGTGAGGTGTTATAAGGGTACCTTTGTTGAAAAAGGCGCCCTGTAGCCCTGCTAAGGGGTGCCAAATTCTGTCCTGCTAGGAGTTTTATCATATGCGCTAATGGATTTGTCGTAGTGGATTTTTCGTCCCAATTGCCTTCAATCCCTTTTAACCTAACTCCACCCTTCTATTCTTTCTCTATTGCTCATTCTTTGAACACTCTAAATAATCGCACTATCCTTTTTAACCCTTCCTGATCAGGCAGCATTCTACGATGGATTCCACAACGGAGAAGTCGCATTTGGTATCTAAAGGTGTGAGGATAGGGGGGAGGCGGCGCGGGGTGTACTTACCTGCAGAAATGTTTTGGGTTTTCCTGCTTTACGCACTGCACCTCCCTCCCCGCAAGAACGGCCATTTTTTCCTTTTGAAACACCACGGGAAAGCTGCAGGAAGAAACTTAGGAGGGATGGTGGCTAGGGTAAAGGGGGTTGCACCAGAGTAGGAAATGGGAAAATTCATGGGGTGAGGGCTGTACTCATACTATTTTGTCTACTCTATTGAAACCAAATATAATTAGCTTTATTTGAGTGATATTTAACAAAACTAAATGAGACGAAAACACAAAGATTCTTTATCGCTGTAATAAACAACACTGAAACATCAACACGTATTTCGGAAATTTCACGAATAAATGACTCTTTTTGTGACAAAATCGACAATGATTTCAGCACACGTACAAATGAAATCAATTCAATTTTAGAAAAATGGTAACAAATTAGGCGGCCTAAGAAAGTAGCACATCTCAATATCACGAATTCAACAAATAACGCAATAAACCAGTCAAAAAATGACACTATTATCATCTCACGAGTACTTCATCAATTCATATCCCTATATCTGCTGTAGAACGTCGCACGGACTCGTTCTTGATGCGTAGCTTCGGCACCGTGCATCACTCGTGACCCCGCCTGATC